TCTCGCCACAGGGATGGTAACCCCGGCCATTCCTTGCACAAAGGGGATAATGTAGACCGCAAAAAAAAAAAAAAAAAAAAAAAAAAAAAAAACGACAGTAGTCACACCAAGAATATCCATTGTTAACCAAAGGAAATCAAACTAAATTATTAATTAGTATGATTAAATATGAATATAAATGAATATATGCATATACATTACATATGTATATACGTTCACATATGTGGATGTAAAGATGTATATAGATATGTTTATGGAATATATAAATGTACCACAGACAAACATATATATGTATGCATATATACGTAAAGAAAAACCTATAGACGTGTTGAAACATATATTATATACACATCTGGTGCATATGATTTTTATCTTATAGATTCTTATAACATATGTCTAGGTAAGTATGGTGTGTACAGCCTTTCTATATGGATATTATATATGCATTACATATGTATATCTAGTAATTGATTAAATATTTGTGATCACAAAAGGTGTACGCCTAGTAAGCGTTCTATATATCATCGAGATATTAACAGCCCAAACGTTAGGATAACTAGGAATGGGGACAACCAACATCGGTTCTTGACAGTTATAGAGGGTTTATATACAAGAAATCACGCCAAATCTTGTTATCCACTTAATACCTAAGCTTTCACCAAGTGCTCACGATATAAAACTCAGTAAACTTACTCAAGTTCTTAGTGGACACATGGTGAGCAAGTTATGAATGAGATGAGTAACATCACAGTGCAGGGATGTATTCTAGCTTTCGACTTTTTAGAATGTTAGTTTAATCGAAAACGCATCAATCCATTACGCTGTCAAGTTATGAATCTCGTTTATACTTTTTTCGGTGAAAAGACAGTCTGGCTGTCCTAAAAATATTCCTTGTTCGGGAGTCACTGCAATTTTCTCTACATATCCATGTACTGAACACGCTAAACGATAGACACGAATCCTGAAGCGTGAATTTTTTAAAAATCTGACAATGGCTGTAAGTGTTGATTTCTGAAATGATAGATCAAAGAAATGTATCCATTGTTGACCTAATGCATGCCGCGCAAATAAACCAGGCATGAGCCAATTTAAGTTATAGAAATCTCGGTGTTATCTATATTTCCACACATACACGCGCGTGCACGCTTGCACTATAAATAGATCAATAGATATATAGACAGACAAAGAAAGATGGAAGTAGTGATATATATATTCTATAGAATATATCTCTGGTTTTGATTTCATGATGAATTGGATTCTTATTATGTTTCTGATGATGAAACACAGCATTTCTTTGGTTAATTTATTGGAAATTACAACTCATCTTGTGAAGTTACAAAGATACATCCTGCTTCCACAGCAGATCACGAAATAATCCGTTTTTGTAAAGGTTAGTCTTTGATTCTCTTAAAATGATTTGTCTTCAGGGCGTCCAAACTGCTCGTTGGTGTAGAAGTAGTTGGAGGATTCCAGGCAGGGGATGGCGGACGACTCCGCTACGCAAGTCAGCTCCTTCTGGTCGAACACGGAACCCTCGCCGCACATGAAGCTGTGCAGAGAAACATTAGAATTAGGTACCTAGAAAATGCACAGTAAAACAATCGCAAATTGCAACTTTATTTTTCCCATATGTTTTCAAAATCTGTATTCGACGCTGCAAATAGATCACTTTGTTTATAAACTGTATGGATAAGGAATTGACTTACCTGTACTGGTAGGTTTCGACGGCACCGTTGGAGAAGAGTGTCGGGTTGCACACGTGGAACACACGGCATGAGTTGTCCTGGTCAGCGTAGTAGCCGTAGGGACGGTCGAGGCAGCTGAAGGAGCTGGTGATGCCTCCCAGTAAGGCACTGGCGCCGGAGGGAAGGTTGAGAGGCTCGAAGACTCCGCTGACGGAGTCACTGGAGGAATCGAACGACGAACCGGATCGGAGGAAGGAAGTGGCCTGAGAGTTCTGAGAGAAACGGTTGCTGGAATCCTGGTTGTTGAAGGTGGACTGGAATCTGTTGTTGGAATCTTGGTTGTTGAAAGTGGACTGGAATCGGTTATTGGAATTCTGGTTGTTGAAGGTTGACTGGAATTGGTTGTTGGAATTCTGGTTGTTGAAGGTAGACTGGAATCGGTTGTTGGAATCCTGGTTGTTGAAGGTAGACTGGAATCGGTTGTTGGAATCTTGGTTATTGAAAGTGGACTGGAATCGGTTGTTGGAATCCTGGTTGTTGAAGGTTGACTGGAATCGGCTGTTAGAATCTTGGTTGTTGAAGGTGGATTGGAATCGGTTATTGGAATCCTGGTTGTTGAAGGGACTGGAATCGGTTGTTAGAATCTGGTTGTCAAAGCTAGATTGGAATCGGCTTCCGGAATTGATTTGATTAGTGTTGGTCTGGAATTGGTTGTCGGAACCAAACTGGCTGGAACCTGACTGGAAGAAACTGTTGCCAGACTGAGCGTTTGAGTTCTGCTGGAATGGACTTCCGCTGTTCTGCTGGAAGGCATTGGAGTCGATGGAGCTCTGCTGGAATGAAGTAGTTTGGAACTGGTTGCGGTTGGCGTCAGCATTCCTTTGGAGCTGGTTGCTGTTCTGGAAGAGTCCAGACTGACGGAATCTGTTGCTGTCTGAAGTGGCAGTTTGGAAAGAGTTCTGGAAGGAATCGCCTTGCAGTCGGCCATTGGTGTTGCGGAAGGAAGCTGAGGTGAAGCTTCCACCCTGTTGGAAGTATCCGGGAGTGGCAAGGCGGACGGCAGTGTCATACTGCCTTTGCTGCTGGAACTGCTGGCCGACAGCGGCAGCTGCCAGTGCAACTGCAAATGGAATCGTAGATATACGTATCACTAAAACTAAGTAAACTGTGATTACTGGATGATATAGGATATGTATAGCCAGAAAGTAAAAGAGAAAAAAACATAAATAAATAACACAAATAAATAAATAAACAAAACAAATAAATAAATGAAAATAAATAAGTAAAATAAATAAATAAATGAAAATAAATAAGTAAAAATAAATAAATAAATAAAGATATCAATACAATGCTTTTAAAAATCCCAACTCACCAACAACGAGAACCTTCATGTCTGTCGCGTGCGGAGAAGTGCGTCCGACTATGACCTGGCTGCTATGCCCCGTCCTTATATAGTCCGGCTGTGACGGGCGGGACACTCGATCAAAGGTTGAGGCAGGTCCTGGCAGGGGAGAAAGGAGCAGGGCAGCTGTCACGGTATGATAACTTGCAAATTTTGAATGGAACAAGTACAAGCATAAGAATTGCAGCGCCATGGATATAAATGTGACATACCTGTGGTTTGTACGAACTAAAGACTTTAATCTTATTGTGACGGAAAGTGATAAGAGCAGAGAAGAAACCTCATGAGCATATTCTCCTCCCCAACCCCCCAACCCCGTCATCTTCGGAATTGTAAGTTACGGGAATCACTATTGAGAGTACGTCATGAAATGATGTAGGAATATACACATATGTATATATGTGTGGTACAGCGGTAGCGATCTCGTCTAGCAATATTGCTGACCTGCGTTCGAATCTCTCGCCACCAGTGGATGGTAACCCCGGCCATTCCTTGCACACAGGGGATAATTTAGAAGCAAAAAAAAAAAAAAAAAAAAAAAAAAACAGACAGTACGTAACACCAAGAATATCCATTGTAACAAATGGAATCAAACTAAATTATTAATTATTATTATTACATATGAATATAAATGAATATATGCATATACATATACATATTTATATACGTTCACATATGTGGATGTAAAGATGTATATATATATGTTTATGAATATATAAATGTACACAGACACACATATATATGTATGCATATATACGTAAAGAAAAACATATAGAATGTGTATGCATACATTATATATATACATCATCTGTGCATATTATTTTATATTTATAGATTTATAAACATATGTATATGTAAGTATGTGTGTACGCATTCTATATGTATATTATATATGCATACATATGTATATCTTATTAATTGATTAAATATTTTGTTAATCACAAAGTTGTACGCCTAGTAAGAGTTATATATATCATCGATGATATTTAACAGCTCAAACGTTAGATAAATATGAATGGAAACCAACCTCGTCTTGACAGTTATAGATTTGTTTATATACAAGAAATCACGCAAAATCTTGTTATCCACCTTAATACCTAATGCTTTTCCACCAAGTGCTCACGACTATAAAACTACACGTAACTTACTCAAGTTCTTAGTGACACATGTTGAGCAAGTTATGAATGAGAATGAGTAACATCACAGTGCACGGGATGTATTCTACGCGTTTCGACTTTTTAGAAATGTTTAATCGAAACGCATCACATACACTTACGCTGTCAAGTTATTCATCCTCGTTTATACTTTTTTCTGTGAAAAGACAGTCTGGCTGGTCCTGAAAGATATTCCTTGTTCTGGGTCACTGCAATTTTCTCTCCCCTCTCCATGTTACTGAACACGCTAAAACGCTAGACCACGAATCCTGAAGCGTGATTTTTTAAAAATCTGACAATGGCTGTAAGTGTTGATTTCTGAAATGATAGATCAAAGAAATGTATCCATTGTTGACCTAATGCATGCCGCGCAAATAAACCAGGCATGAGCCAATTTAAGTTATAGAAATCTCGGTATGTTTCTATATTTGTTTGCACACATACGCACGTGCGCAGGCTTTGCACTATAAGCAGATCAACAGATATATAGATGTACAAAGAAAGATGGAAGTATAGATGTATATATTATATCTATACTTCCATCTTTCTTTGTCCACGTATATATACTGTAGAATATATCTTTGTTTTTGATTTCATGTTGGATTAGATTCTTATTATATTTCTAATGATGAAACACAGCATTTCTTTGGTAAATTTATTGGAAATTACAACTCATCTTGTGAAATTACAAAGAAACTTCCTGCTTCCACAGCAGATCACGAAATAATCCGTCTTTGTAAAGGTCAATCTCCGATTCTCTTAAAATGATTTATCTTCAGGGCGTCCAAACTGCTCGTTGGTGTAGAAGTAGTTGGAGGATTCCAGGCAGGGGATGGCGGACGACTCCGCTACGCAAGTCAGCTCCTTCTGGTCGAACACGGAACCCTCGCCGCACATGAAGCTGTGCAGAGAAACATTAGAGTTAGGTATCTAGAAAATGCACAGTAAAACAATCACAAAGTATCACTTTAATTTTCCCATATGTTTTCAAAGTCTGTATTCGACGCTGCTAATAGATCACTTTGTATATAAACTGTACGGATAACAAGCTGACTTACCTGTACTGGTAGGTTTCGACGGCGCCGTTGGAGAAGAGTGTCGGGTTGCACACGTGGAACACACGGCATGAGTTGTCCTGGTCAGCGTAGTAGCCGTAGGGACGGTCGAGGCAGCTGAAGGAGCTGGTGATGCCTCCCAGTAAGGCACTGGCGCCGGAGGGAAGGTTGAGAGGCTCGAAGACTCCGCTGACGGAGTCACTGGAGGAATCGAACGACGAACCGGATCGGAGGAAGGAAGTGGCCTGAGAGTTCTGAGAGAAACGGTTGCTGGAATCCTGGTTGTTGAAGGTAGACTGGAATCTGTTGTTGGAATCTTGGTTGTTGAAAGTGGACTGGAATCGGTTGTTGGAATTCTGGTTGTTGAAGGTTGACTGGAATTGGTTATTGGAATTCTGGTTGTCGAAGGTGGACTGGAATCGGTCGTTGGAATCCTGGTTGTTAAAGGTAGACTGGAATCGGTTGCTGGAATCTTGGCTGTTAAAGGTAGACTGGAATCGGTTGTTGGAATTCTGGTTGTCGAAACTTGACTGGAATCGGTTGTTGGAATCCTGGTTGTTGAAGGTGGACTGGAATCGGTTGTTGGAATCTTGGTTGAAGCTTGACTGGAATCGGTTGTTGGAATCTTGGTTGTCGAAGCTTGACTGGAATCCGTTGTTGGAATTCTGATTGTCGAAGCTAGACTGGAATCGGCTTCCGGAATTGATCTGATCAGTGTTGGTCCGGAATCGGTTGTCGGAACCAAACTGACTGGAACCTGACTGGAAGAAGCTGTTGCCAGACTGAGCGTTTGAGTTTTGGAATGAACTTCTGCTGTTCTGCTGGAAGGCATTCGAGTCGATGGAGCTCTGCTGGAATGAAGTAGTTTGGAACTGGTTGCGGTTGGCGTCAGCATTCCTTTGGAGCTGGTTGCTGTTCTGGAAGAGTCCAGACTGACGGGAGCTGTTGCTGTCTGAAGTGGCAGTCTGGAAAGAGTTCTGGAAGGAATCGCCTTGCAGTCGGCCATTGGTGTTGCGGAAGGAAGCTGAGGTGAAGCTTCCGCCCTGTTGGAAGTATCCGGGAGTGGCAAGGCGGACGGCAGTGTCATACTGCCTTTGCTGCTGGAACTGCTGGCCGACGGCGGCAGCTGCCAGTGCAACTGCAAATGGAATCATAGATATGCATATCACTAACGCTAAATAAACTGTGATTACTGTATGATATAAGATATGTATAGCCAGAAAGTAAAAGAAAAAAAAAATAAATAAAACAAATAAATCATTAAATAAAACAAATAAATAATTAGATAAAACAAATAATAATTAATAAAACAAATAAATAATTAAATAAAACAAATAAATGATGAAATAAAACAAATGAATAATGAAATAAAACAAATAAATAATGAAATTAAACAAATAAATAATGAAATTAAACAAATGAATAAATAAAAATAAATAAATAAGTAAACAAATAAATAAATAAAGATATTAATACAATGCTTTAAAAAATCCCAACTCACCAACAGCGAGAACCTTCATGTCTGTCGCGTGCGAAGAAGTGCGTCCGACTATGACCTGGCTGCTATGCCCCGTCATTATATAGTCCGGCTGTGAGGGGCGGGACACTCGATCAAAGGTCGGGGCAGGTCCCGGCAGGGGAGAAAGGAGCAGGGCAGCTATCTGTCACGGTATAATAACTTAACTTTTTAATGGAACAAGTACAAGCATAAGAATTGCAGCGCCATGGATATCGGTGTGACGTATCTGTGGTTTCTACGAACTAAAGGCTTTAATCTTATTGTGACGGGAAATGATAAGAGCAGATAAGAAACCTCATGAGCATATCCCCCCCCACCCCACCCCCGTCATCTTCGGAATTGTAACTGACGGGAATCACTATTGAAAGTACAAGTCATGAAATGATGTAGGAATATACACATATATGAATATAAATGAGTATATACATATACATACACATATTTATATACGTTCACATATGTGGATATAAAGATATATATGTATATATACTGTATACACACGTATACGTTTAAGTATAAATATGTTTATGAATATGTATAAATGCACATACATATATATGTATGTATATATACATAAACAGAAACATATATAGAATGTGTATGCATACATTATATATATACACATTATCTGTATACATTATTTTACATTTATAAACATATGTATACATAAGTATGTGTGCGCATTCTATATGTATATTATATATACATATATATATATATATATATATATATATATACATATATTACTAATTGATTTAATATTTTGTTAATCACGAAGTTGTACGCCTAGCAAAAGTTAAATATATGTATATATGTTAAACATATGTATATATATGTATGTGCGTGCGCTTTCTACAAGTATATTATATATACACATGCATATATATTTTCTTTATTAAATGATTGAATATTTTGTTAATCACAAAGTTGTACGCCTAGTAAGAGTTGTATATATCATCGAAGATATATAACAGCTCAAACGTTAGATAAATATGAATGGAAACCAACCTCGTCTGGACAGTTGTAGATTTGTTTATATACAAGAAATCACGCAAAATCTTGTTATCCACCTTAATACCTAATGCTTTTCCACCAAGTGCTCACGACTATAAAACTACACGTAGCCTACTCAAGTCCTTAGTGACAAATGTTGAGCAAGTTATGAATGAGAATGAGTAACATCGCAGTGCACGGGATGTATTCTACGCGTTCCGACTTTTTAGAAATGTTTAATCAAAACGTATCACATACACTTACGCTGTCAAGTTATTCATCCTCATTCATACTTTTTTCTGTGAAAAGACAGTCTGGCTGGTCCTGAAAGATATTCCTTGTTCTGGGTCACTGCAATTTTCTCTCCCCTCTCCATGTTACTGAACACGTTTATAGTCTCTTGTAGACAAAAAGTACTCCGTTTGAACATGTATGCAACCTCTCTATTCAATTGTGAAAGAGGAAAGTATTGACACATTTGGGCCCATTTCCCATCGATAGTATCGCATCATAATGAAGTCTACTTCTGCGGTTAACGATTCCCAACGCTAAAACGCAAGACCACGAATTCTGAAGCGTGAAGTTTTTAAAATCTGACAATAGGTGTAAGTGTAGATTTCTGAAATGATAGATCAAAGAAATGTATCCATTGTTGTCCTAAGGTATGCTGCGCAAATAAACCAGGCATAAGCCAATTCAAGTTATAGAAATCTCGGTATGTATCTATATTTGTTTGCACACATACACGCGCGCGCACGCTTGCACTATAAATAGATCAAAAGATATATAGATGGACAAAGAAAGATGGAAGTAGTGATATATATACTATAGAATATATCTCTGGTTTTGATTTCATGATGAATTGGATTCTTATGTTTCTAATGATGAAACACAGCATTTCTTTGGTTAATTTATTAGAAATTACAACTCATCTTGTGAAGTTACAAAACAAACTTCCTGCTTCCACAGCAGATCACGAAATAATCCGTTTTTGTAAAGGTCAGTCTTTGATTCTCTTAAAATGATTTATCTTCAGGGCGTCCAAACTGCTCGTTGGTGTAGAAGTAGTTGGAGGATTCCAGGCAGGGGATGGCGGACGACTCCGCTACGCAAGTTAGCTCCTTCTGGTCGAACACGGAACCCTCGCCGCACATGAAGCTGTGCAGAGAAACATTAGAATTAGGTACCTAGAAAGTGCACAGTAAAACAATCGCAAATTGCCTCTTTATTTTTCCCATATGTTTTCAAAATCTGTATTCGACACTGCAGATAGTTCACTATGTGTATATAAACTGTATGGACAAGGAGCTGACTTACCTGTACTGGTAGGTTTCGACGGCGCCGTTGGAGAAGAGTGTCGGGTTGCACACGTGGAACACACGGCATGAGTTGTCCTGGTCAGCGTAGTAGCCGTAGGGACGGTCGAGGCAGCTGAAGGAGCTGGCGATGCCTCCCAGTAAGGCACTGGCGCCGGAGGGAAGGTTGAGAGGCTCGAAGACTCCGCTGACGGAGTCACTGGAGGAATCGAACGACGAACCGGATCGGAGGAAGGAAGTGGCCTGAGAGTTCTGAGAGAAACGGTTGCTGGAATCCTGGTTGTTGAAGGTGGACTGGAATCTGTTGTTGGAATCTTGGTTGTTGAAAGTGGACTGGAATCGGTTGTTGGAATTCTGGTTGTTGAAGGTTGACTGGAATTGGTTGTTGGAATTCTGGTTGTTGAAGGTTGACTGGAATCGGTTGTTGGAATCTTGATTGTTAAAGGTAGACTGGAATCGGTTGTTGGAATCCTGGTTGTTCAAGCTTAACTGGAATCTGTTGTTGGAATCTTGGTTATTGAAAGTGGATTGGAATCGGTTGTTGGAATCCTGGTTGTTGAAGGTTGACTGGAATCGGCTGTTAGAATCTTGGTTGTTGAAGGTCGACTGGAATCGGTTATTGGAATCCTGGTTGTTGAAGGACTGGAATCGGTTGTTAGAATCTTGGTTGTCAAAGCTAGATTGGAATCGGCTTCCGGAATTTATCTGATTAGTGTTGGTCTGGAATTGGTTGTCGGAACCAAACTGGCTGGAACCTGACTGGAAGAAACTGTTGCCAGACTGAGCGTTTGAGTTCTGGAAGGAACTTCCGCTGTTCTGCTGGAAGGCATTGGAGTCGATGGAGCTCTGCTGGAATGAAGTAGTTTGGAACTGGTTGCGGTTGGTGTCAGCATTCCTTTGGAGCTGGTTGCTGTTCTGGAAGAGTCCAGACTGACGGAATCTGTTGCTGTCTGAAGTGGCAGTTTGGAAAGAGTTCTGGAAGGAATCGCCTTGCAGTCGGTCATTGGTGTTGCGGAAGGAAGCTGAGGTGAAGGTTCCACCCTGTTGGAAGTATCCGGGAGTGGCAAGGCGGACGGCAGTGTCATACTGCCTTTGCTGCTGGAACTGCTGGCCGACAGCAGCAGCTGCTAGTGCAACTGCAAATGGAATCGTATTATGCGTATCACTAAAACTAAGTAAACTGTGATTACTGGATGATATAGGATATGTATAGCCAGAAAGTAAAAGAGAAAAAACATAAATAAATAACACAAATAAATAATTAAACAAAACAAATAAATAAATGAAAATAAATAAGTAAAAATAAATAAATAAATGAAAATAAATAAGTAAAAATAAATAAATAAATAAAGATATCAATACAATGCTTTTAAAAATCCCAACTCACCAACAACGAGAACCTTCATGTCTGTCGCGTGCGGAGAAGTGCGTCCGACTATGACCTGGCTGCTATGCCCCGTCCTTATATAGTCCGGCTGTGAGGGGCGGGACACTCGATCAAAGGTCGGGGCAGGTCCTGGCAAGGGAGAAAGGAGCAGGGCAGCTATCTGTCATGGTATAATAACTTAACTTTTTAATGGAACAAGTACAAGCATAAGAATTGCAGCGCCATGGATATAGATGTGACGTATCTCTGATTTCTACGAACTAAAGGCTTTAATCTTATTGTGACGGGAAATGATAAGAGCAGATAAGAAACCTCATGAGCATAGTCTCCCCCCCCAACCCCGTCATCTTCGGAATTGTAACTGACGGGAATCACTATTGAGAGTACAAGTCATGAAATGATGTAGGAATATATGTATAGGAATATACACATATATGAATATAAATGAGTATATACATATACATACACATATTTATATACATTCACATATGTGGATATAAAGATATATATACATATATACTGTATACACACGTATACGTTTAAGTATATATATGTGTATGAATATATATAAATGCACATACATATATATGTATGTATATATGCATAAACAGACACATATAGAATGTGTATGCATACATTATATATATACACACTATCTGTACACATTATTTTACATTTATAAACATATGGATACATAAGTATGTGTGCGCATTCTATATGTATATTATATATACATACATATACATATTTTTTACTAATTGATTGAATATTTTGTTAATCACAAAATTGTACAACTAGTAAAAGTTAAATATATGTATATATATTAAACATATGTATATATATGCATGTGCGTGCGCATTCTACAAGTATGTTATATATACACATACATATATATTTTCTTTGTTAATAAATTAAATATTGTGTTAATCACAAAGTTGTACGCCTAGTAAGAGTTATATATATCATCGATGATATTTAACAGCTCAAACGTTAGATAAATATGAATTGAAACCAACCTCGTCTGGACAGTTGTAGATTTGCTTCTATACAAGAAGTCACGCAAAATCTCGTTATCCACCTTAATACCTAATGCTTTTCCACCAAGTGCTCACAACTATAAAACTACACGTAGCCTACTCAAGTTCTTAGTGACAAATGTTGAGCAAGTTATGAATGAGAACGAGTAACATCACAGTGCACGGGATGTATTCTACGCGTTTCGATTTTTAGAAATGTTTAATCGAAACGCATCACATACACTTACTCTGTCAAGTTATTCATCCTCATTCATACTTTTTCCTGTGAAAAGACAGTCTGGCTGGTCCTGGCAAGATATTCCTTGTTCTGGGTCTCTATGATTTTCTCTTCCCTCTCCATGTTATTGAATACGTTTATGAGTCTCATGTAGACAAAATGTACTCCGTTTGAACATGTATGCAACCTCTTTATTCAATTGTGAAAGAGCAAAGTATTGGCATATTTGGGCCCATTTCCCATCGATAGTATCGCATCATAATGCAGTCTACTTCTGCAGATAAACGATTCCCAATACTAAAACGCAAGACCACGAATCCTGAATCCTGAAATTTTCAAAATCTGACAATAGGTGTAAGTGTAGATTTCTGAAATGATAGA